TTTTGTTTGGAATCAGGATAATACCAGTCTTATAAGATGATCTGGAAATTGTAGTGAATATCTTCTATGTAACCTTTTTTTTTTTGCGATGAGATCTTTGTGTGTTGCCCAAGCTGACCTCCATTTCCTGGGTTCAAGCAGTCCTCCCATCTCAGCCTCCAGCCTCCCAAATGGCTCCGACTGCCACACCGATAACTTTTACAGTCTTTTGATTTTTTTTTTTTTTTTTGGAAGTGATTCCCAGAGGGCTGGGGATGTGGCTCAAGTGATAGCCAGTTAGCCTGGAATACATGCGGCCCGGGTTCGATCCTCAGCACCACATACAAACAAAGATGTTGTGTCTGCCGAAAACTAAAAAAAAATATTAAAAAATTCTAAAAAAAAGAAGTGATTCCCAGAAGGAAGAAGGCATGTATATTTATAAGTTACTTTATAAATATTGCCTAATCATGTTCCAAAATGTCAAATCGGGTTTATATATTTTTTGAGATTTCTTTGCGGGATAGCAGTCTCTGAGAACTGATTCTTCATACCTTGAAGAATTTAAAAGATTTTCTGATAGGCAAAGCCAGGCTCAGCCATCTGCAACACACCCAACTTTATAGTCTGTACTGGTTTCATCCAGTTTTCATTATTGATTGTTACTGAATGCTTCCTGCCCAGACAGGACTTCTCAATTTCCCACTGTTTTGGACCAGGTAATTTTTCTGTTTGGCAGTACTAGGGATTGAACCCAGGGTGTTCTGTCACTGAGTCACATCCCCAGCCCTTTTCTATTTTTTTGAGATAAGGTCTCACTGAAATGCCAGGGCTGGCCTCAGACTTGCAATCCTCCTGCCTCTGCCTCCTAAGTGGCTGGGATTGCACTTGTGAGCCACCACACACAGCTTTGTTCAGATCACTGTATTGATCTTGCCCATAACATCAGTGCATGCTATCGTCAGCCCACCTTATTCTCTTGGAGTGCCTGAGTTGATGATTTAGAAACATTCTCCCTGACCAAAAGCTGTACTTGCAGTAATTTCATTATCTTCTGTGTCCTTGGGATGTGCAGCCCCTGTGAAGGATAACAGTGTAGGAGGCGTGCTCCTGTCTTCTGAGGGATGAGGTCAAGTCTTGGACTCACCAGCATATTTTCTAAACTGTTTCCACATTAGTGCTGAAGTAAAAGAAACTAGAGACGTTTATGTACAGGCTGCACACTCTAAAGAAACATTGATCTTTTAATGGAATTGGTAATAGTAATAAACTTCATGTCAGTAAGGCTTATTTTTCTTCCTAACACTGACCATATATCTTTCCCCTCCTGGGCACAGCACCTTTGAGCTTGAAACTTAACTGATAATAGACACAACTGTATTCTTTGGGGTGTAATTGATTATAGGTAAACCCACACATGTGGTGTTCATTGTTTGGGAAATGATCATACTTTTGGCCTGGAGCAGCCAGTGATGTTATTTACAGAAAAGAGAAACAGTCAAGAGGCTGGGGCTGGGGCTCAGTGGTAGAACAAGTTCCTCACACATGTGAGGTGCTGGGTTTGATCCTCAGTACCACATAAAAATATATAACTAAATATATTGTGTCCATCTACAACTAAAAAAATGTTAAGAAATAAAAAGAGGGCTGGGGTTGTGGCTCAGTGGTAAGAGCACTTGCTTAGCATGTGTGAGGTACTGGGTTTGATTCTCAGCACCGCATATAAATAAATGAAATAAAGGTCCAGTGACAACTAAAAAATAAAAAAAGAGAGAGAGAGAGAAACAATCTGGGGAGCTAGGGTCTAGGGAGCCAGCATAGGTTTCTTGTGCGCAGGTGCTGGGGATTGACCCAGGGACTCGCACATGGCAAGCGAATTCACTGTTGACCCTGTTGACTGCCGCATCTGTGGAAAAGACAGGAGGCAGCAGCCAAGGAGCTTGATGCTCAGGGCCCATCAGGGCAGGAGGCCAGCCTGTGTCTGGGGATGAGATGGTGTTACGTGTGCAAAGAGGAGGATCTAGGACAGAGCAGTGGAAATGACAGGGTAGTGACCCAAGAGAAACCAATGAAGGATGAGTTTGACAAGGAAAAGGAGAACCAGGAGAAAGACACTGCAGCAAAGGAAGAGTGAAACTTGTGTGGGGTCACAGGTGGCAGCAAGTCAGGCTGAGGAGAGCGGGTGAGCATTAGCTAAGAACTCAGCAAGAGCATTTTAGCAGAAAGGTGAGATGGGGGAGGCCCAGCCACAGCAGGCTGAGGAATGGTGGGAAATGAAGACGTGGAATTTGTGCATGTAGGTCACTTCCATTCCTTTTAGACTTGAGCTAGAGCAGGTACAAATGAAAAACCTGGGCATGTTTATGAGCTAAGTTAAGGAGATGGAGACATTAAACAGGCGTCTGCAGAGTCCCTGGGTGGGATAAGATCAACAGCCAGGTGGGATGAGTGTGCCTGGAAAAATGCCAGGACACACACCTGTTTGTGTGTGTGAGGGATGATGTTAGGAATTAGTATAGGCAGGCATTTGAGAAGTTAGGGACATCATGCCTCGCACCATCTCTTCCCTGGGCTGGGGACCTGTGTTCTCCCTTGAGGGTGGTGGGAAGGGACTTGGGGAGTGTGCCAGAAATAGCTCTTTACAGGGAAGGCTTTGTGTGGCAGCTTTGGTGATAACCACTCTGAGCCTGGAGGTACTGCCAAGAAGCAGGGAGGAAATGCTCACTCCCAGGTGCTGTCTTCTCTCGTAGGAACAGAAATGAGTAAAAGCAGCTGGCAGAGCAGGAGAAGACCCGGGAGAAGAGGCCGCCAGCAGAACCCTTGGCTTCGACAGCATTCTGGACAGAGGCAAGTGCGGGGAACTGTCTGTGCCCATTGCTGCTCTGGCTTGTCCAGCACACTGTGTCTCACATGCAAATGTCTCTGGGTTCCCCCCCCAAAATGAGTCTAGGTGGAGCCTGAGGAGAGCTGTGCTTCTCACAGGCTTCTGGGTGGGTGATGTCTACTGCTCAGCCCCCCACCCTGAGGAGTCAGGAAGTATGGCCAATCTTTGTTACCAGAGTGACTGTGGTTTCTGGCCAGAGCACTAGCCATAGGTCATAGGTAGACATTATCTGACGTAACTGGAGAACTGCTACTCCATTTTGGAAATTATTCTTTTTCTTTTGGCCAAAGGAAATAATCTGTGGAAACTTGTTCAGCCTAAGTCTTGGAAAAGTACTACTATTAATGTATGTAGGATATAATATATATTTGTATGACATAAATATATAGAAAATATAGTGCTTAAGATATATAAGTGTATAAAGAATAATATAGTGAACACCATGTACCCACCAGCTTAGAAAATAAAACTCAGACTATACCTAATTGAAAGCCCAGCATGCACATTTTCCACATTCTGTTTATTTTCTTGCATGAAAGAAATACAAACAACAGCATACTCCCACCTGCCCCAGGAGAGGTCGTCCCTGCAATCAAGGGTGACTTCTGGGACTCCTGGCCACTGGAAGTCCTATACAGCCCTCGGTTTTGCAACCTCCCTCTTGAGCAAGGAGGGCATGTCTGCCGATTTCAAAGTCTTCCACATTTAGCTTTTCACAAGGGAATGTATAGGTTGTCTGGCTCTGAGTAGGTCCACAGCACACAGTGGGTCTCGTGGGGTGTAAATCCTCACCCTGGACCCATATTGTAGAAAGATCAGGACTGTGCCCAATGTTTGTCTGTTTTGTGAGGAGAGCCATGGATATTTTGGGGGGCCCCAGGCCCTCCCACAAGAGCACAGCCTGCAGCACAATGTGATCTGTGCGAGGCCCAGCCCAGCCATGGCAACATAGTATGGCTTGGAAATTTGCTGGGAACGGCCACCTGCTCTCCATGTGGAAAGAATGGAGCAGCAGTCCTTGGACGAGAAGCATAAACGTTTGTCATGACACTTAATCCTTCCTCCTCCTGCTGCCTCAGGAAACTCTGAGCCAGAGAAGGGGGAGTAAATAATTTTCCCTGAAACTTTGCATAGCCTGGTATTTTGGGGAGATTTATGTTGCATTCCTTCATCCTAGTTTTGCAGTTTCTTTCACTTTTAGACTATATAATGGGCAGAAGTTCTTGATTTTTTGTAGTTTTTTTTTTTTTTTTTTTAGAGAGAGAGAATTTTAATATTTATTTACTTTTTTAGTTTTAGGTGAACACAACATTTTTGTATGTGGTGCTGAGGATCGAACCCAGGCCGCATGCATGCCAGGCGAGCGCACTACCGCTTGAGCCACATCCCCAGCCCCAAAGTTCTTGATTTTAAAGTAGATTTTGTTGAGACTCTAAAATAGGGTCTTTTTATCACTATATTCTTCAGCCTATAATTGCCACAGAAGCTGCTTGTGGCTTTACAAATCCAGTGTTTTAGCCATGACTTAGTCTCAGGATTACTAAGCACGTTACCTCTATTTCCCAAGCCCCAGTTTCTCCATCTATAAGATTGGCTGGCTAGTCAGGTAAAATTTAAACTCTCCTAATGCCAAACACAGTTAAAAATGAAATTCACCTGGTTTGGCACTACTCTTAAGCTGACAAAATGAGCCCAGTTGGTAAAATTCTTATTGGCAAAGGTTTCTGTTCTTTTTTTTCATCTGGAAAATTCTAGAAGACCTCAGAAAGTGCTGAAGTTGAGACAAAAAGAAGGAATTACCATGACATACATCCCCTTTTTAAAACCGGAAAGAGTTATAAACCCAAACCTGGCCCTCATTTTGGAGTGTGTAGGGAGTTAGTACTCCCCCAAGTCATCGGAAAGGACAGGGGTAAAGGCTGAAGAGCTGCTTGAACAATACCCAGTTAGAATGGTTGGAAACTCAGCCCTTCACACACATGTGTGTCAGCAGGTACGCCACAGAGGTGCCCCAGGATCTGCAGGACTCTGACTGTGAGGATGGCGAGGTCGCATCAACGTCAGCCTCATCCAGCACTGGGGCTTCTTCAGTGCCAGGTGAGCAGGTTGCTGTGTAGGCCTTCTGGCCCAGCCTGGGGAAAGGAAACCTCCTGTTGCCTTGTCTGTTGCTGTCTGTCCTGTCCGCCCTTCCTCCCAGCCAGGGATGTGTGTCTGTGTCTCTTTATTTGCGTGGAAACCACAGCCCATTCCTAACTTGGAGGAAATTCTAGGAACAAATTGAAACATTTAAGGAAGGAACTGGGCTTGTCAGGAACAGTGACCTTAGGACAGATGGTCTCCCCCAGGACTGAACTCAGTCCATGATAGAAACAGGCAGCTGAGAGGGGTGGGGGACAAGCCCCTAGGCTCCTTACCAGGTGGGTCAGTTCATAGCATTTTAAGTTGGTGAGTTTGTTTATTCATTCATTCATTCATTCATTTTTGCTCAAGATCTGCCAGGTTATTACTTTGACCCTGAAAAGAAACGCTACTTCCGCTTGCTGCCCGGGCACAATAACTGCAACCCCCTCACAAAGGAGAGCATCCGGCAAAAGGAAATGGAAAGCAAAAGACTGAAGCTGCTAGAAGAGGATGAGCAGAAAAAGGTGGGTTCTGTACCCCTGGGCCCCCCCTCTATCAACATCTGTCTGTGGCTGAAGGAGGCCCTAACACCAGGCATAGACACTTCAGGGGAGGAGGGCCCTGGATTTTCCCTGACAGGGAAATGATGAGGAGAATAAGAACAGGCAACAATCTCCTGCCCCCCACTTCCTGTTTGTTCATCAGTGGTTCTAACATGTCCTTCCTGGGGAGACTCTTGGGAAACTGCATGATAGAATTTCAGTGATGTAGTTTAAATAGACAGTGCAGGATTTTGATGGGTATGATTTGGATGCCACAGGCAGTCGTTTTTTTAGATGGATACAATACCTCCATTTTATTTATTTTTAAAATTTTAGTTGTAGTTTGACACAATACCTTCATTTTATTTACTTATTTTTATGTGGTGTTGGGGATCGAACCCAGGGCCTCACACATGCTAGGCGAGCACTCTACCACTGAGCCACAACCCCAGCACCGCCACAGGCAGTCTTGAAGACAGGTCTAGATGCTGGGATATTTTGTTAGTGTGGGGCCAGTGGCAGGGAAAATGCTTGGCCTCTGGGTTCTCCCGGGGTGCACAGTGCATGACTCAAAGCTGAGTGTCTGGTCCACTCTGTATCCACCAGCACAATGGCTTCATCTCACCAGGTGTAAGTTGACAGGGCTTGGACAGAGGTGTGGTGCAGACTCTGTCACCCATACAAGCCTTCCAGTGCTGGTATTTCCCCTTGTCAAGGAGAAGAGATTTCAGAGGACACCGTCAGACTTTTATGCATATAATTTTTGCCCAAATACCTGTTTTCTTCATTGTATCTATGGAACTAAAATTCTTTTATTCTATACACAAATAAATCTTCACTGAAAAAAATTTTTTTTCCTTAGAAAGTAGCCAGAATGGGATTTAATGCATCTTCCTTCCTACAAAAAAGTCGTCTGGGTTTTCTCAATGTCACCAGTTATTGCCGGTAAGATAATGCCTCATTGTTGTTTTCTCAGTGAATGTTCTTTCCCATTTCTTTCTTCTATGGTCCAAGAATCCAGTCAGGGGAGAACGTGTGCTGCTCTGTGAAGACACTTCACAGTTGAGGGCTCCAGTTTACAGAGCGAGGGAGAGAGACCCTTGCAGGATGCCAGGAGGAGAGGGAATTTAGACAGAAATGACTCAGGATGTTCACTTTGTGATCCTTGTGGCAGCTTTATTCCTATGAGAGTTCTGCTTCCTTCTCTTCCTCTTCTAATGAGGGGTCACCAGAAATGGATTTTTAAATGCATACATGGGTGGTGGCTGGGTACTGTGGTAATTACAGCTAGTTGAGAGGTTAAAGCAGGAGGATCATATTTTCAAAGCCAGCCTCAGGGACTTACTGGGACTCCATCTCAAAATAAAATTTTAAAAAAGGCCTGGGGGTATATATAGCTCAGTAGTAGAGCACTTACCTAGCATTCACAGGGCCCTGTTCCATCCCCAAGATTGTTTTTAAAACAAACCAATTTGGGATGCCTGATGTAATTCTAACTAAAACTCATGAGATAGGCTGAAACATGCCTCCCGTTACCTGAGAGATGGAGGCTCAGTGGAGAGGTTTGCTCCAGGTAGAGCTAGAAAGACAGGATCTGCCTGACTCTAGCACCCAAGCACAGAAGCCCTGCATTCTGCTGCCTGTTGCTGGTGTTTGAGGGGGCTCACTGGGGCAGTCCCCTCACTTTGGAGAAGAGGCCCCTTCAGAGAACTACTGTGGTACCTTTTGGAGAGTGTGGGGCAGGGCAAACTTCCTGTATTTCCTCCTGAGGGCAAAAGAGATAAAGGCCTATTAGAAAGATCCCTTCTATGTGAAGTGGAGAATGGCCGTGCTGTGGAGGGAGGAGGGGACAGGAAGGTAGATGGGCAACCTGGCCTCTTCTTGGTCACCCTTTGCCCTCAGCTTCTTATTCATCTCTTACTCTTAGGTACATTCTCATTATTACAAGAGAATGAATTATACTAAATGATCTAAAAATAAATCCCTTAGGTTCTAACTTTCTTTGAATCCAAGGAGGTCTACCCAGTATTTTGTTTGCATTTTCCTGAGTGAAAACTAAAATTATTCAGATTATCAGGAAGCTTGCTCAGCTCCATGGCTGAGAAATAATACGGAGAAGTAGTCAGAAAGAACAGAAGTCCCCAATCTTCCTTATTTATTTATTTATTTGTTCATTCGTTCGTTCGTTCATTCATTTATTTTGAGATAGAGTCCAGTCTGGTTTCAAGCTCCTGGACTCTCTCCTTTGCCTCCCAAATAGCTGGGACTGCAGGTGTGCCCCACCATACCTAGTTCCCCAAGTCTTCAGGGATGGCTAGCTGTGGTACCCACACTCTCCTTACACTTCCATTTGCCTTTATAGTTTAGCCCACGAGCTGCGAGTGAGCTGCATGGAGAGGAAAAAGGTCCAGGTTCAGAGTTCAGATCCCTCTGCTTTGGCGAGCGACCGGTTTAACCTCATCCTGGTGAGTGGGAAGGAGATGTCTCAGGATGCCAGGTATGGCTGCCTCTGGACACTTCACGGCTTAGTACTGGTGGTCTTCAAGCATGATTGTGTAGAAGCCAGTTGCTATGAGAGCAGGTGGTGTCCTCTGTGTGTTATGACTTGAACCTACCGGCTCACCTCTCTGGGAGCAGACACTGAGCTGGCTGGGCAGGCTGTGCTGGGGCCATCACCAGCCTTCTTCAGCCCTGTCATTTGACATAGGGCCTGGGCCCAACCACACATTAACTTAAAAAATCCTTATGAAGGTCTGGGGTTGTGGCTCAGCAGTAGGGCGCTCACCTAGCACATGCAAGGTCCTGGGTTCGATCTTCAGCACCACATAAAAATAAATAAATAAAATAAAGAAATTATATTTAAAAAAAAAAGTTTGGGGAAAAAAAAATCCCTACAAAATAATTTCTCCCTGGCTATGTTGTGTGTGCAATTGAAAAGGTACATGGTGGAACAGGGACTTCTAACCCCTGATAGAGTAGGACAAGGTTTGGAGGCCAAAAGTGAAGTTCTAGTATGCAAAAGAGTATGACTCCCTTTCTCAATGTCCCTGATGTTAGTGGCCAGGGCCTGCAGGTCTGTGTCCCTGGGCCTACAGATCAGCACCCCTCCATTACATCATTTGTAGGGAGTGGAAGGTTTCCTCTGTTTTTAATTGGGCCTCGGCTGGAAGCCAGAGCCAGCTGCTGGAGTCCAGGGGCCCCAGGAAATATTGGCAGAGAGAAAGTAAATGAGGGAGCCCCACTGCTCCATGGGCCTCAGAGAGCATAGACTGCCTGGGAAGCCCGTCCTTCCTGGTGGCAAAATGAGAACTTGGGAGAAGGAGAGGAGAAGCAGTGATCTGCTGGCAGGGCTGGAGGTTAACACCTTGAGATTGGCCCTTAAGGTTGATGCTGAGTTCTTCTTCCCCAGGGCACCTTGAGAGCAAAAGACCTGCCCACACCTAGCGGGTGTGGAACAGGGCCCACATTTTCAGCTGTGATGTCATCTTTTGTATTTGTAGATATAATTTGAACTCGATCAGAATGGTTTTTTTGCACTGGTTTCCCCTCCAGAGCTCCTTTCCCCTGGCAGGGTAAGCCAGGGAGGGGTATGAAGGTGATTGGCGTGGAGTCTGGTGCCCATTATTAGCCTGACCACCTCATGCTGGGTTTTGCCTTATTCAGCTGGGGATAGATCTTCCTCATCACCCTGTGACACAGGTGACTGGCAGCAAGTGTGACCAGAAAGGCAGTTTGCTACCCAGAGAGCACTTTTTCAGATCACATTCTAGTCACTGGAGTGGTTCAGGCAGGGATATAACTCTCTTCCCAAGTCAACTGACAGAGTGATGGGCATGGCACCCCACACCCGTTACCTGCTAAGCGCACGTTCTCCCATACAGCTGCTCTGCCAGCCCCTGCAGCATTGCTTTTTTTTGCTGGTGATCATAGTATATTGTAATAAGGAATGGAATTTTGTATCATTCTTTATCCATAAATGGTTATAACTAGCATTTTCCATGGTTCCATGGCTTTCATGACTGCCCTGTGGTTATTTTCCTCTGGTCTGACACTGGAACTCTTCAGGCTCAATTCTGAGCAGGGTGGGTGACTGCAGACCTCAGGCTTCTGTCCATGCCCCATCCGGCCATCCACATCTGTGCTCCTAAGTGACTGACCAGACCCTGGGAGCTTTGCTCAGAGATTGCTACACTGAGCAGGAGGAAGATAGGCGATGTCCACAGTTGCTCCTAGAGAGGAGCTATCTGTCACCTGGGGACATGTACTCCCTGGAGGCCAGGAAGTCACTTGCAGCCCATCCCCTCCTGCAGGCAGATACCAACAGTGACCGGCTCTTCACAGTGAACGATGTCAAGGTTGGAGGCTCCAAGTATGGCATCATCAGCCTGCAGGGTCTGAACACCCCCACGCCCAAGGTGAACATGCACGAAAACCTCTACTTTACCAACCGGAAGGTAGGTCTCTGTCTCTTCAACCTTCTAGCCACTTTGCCTTTGGGCCAGGGGCACTGCAGTGGTTGGCCAGATTCAGAGATGACATATGACTTTTGAAGAAGGGAAGGCATAGATGCCTCATTTTCCCAAGGGACAAATAACTTGTTAGTTCCTGAGAACCAGCAGAGTAGAGGGGACCCAGGAGTTTCTGTGTTGGAAGAAAAAATCAGATGAGCTGGTTGGGATGGGCTTGAGGCAGCAGTGGTGTAAGGACACTCCCTGCAGGAGGGTTGGGAGTTGGTCTAAAGTAGCAGAGTTGCTGGGATGTGGGCTGCAGTGACTGTGGCCAGCACTGGGATGGAAATAAATATAAAGCTTTTTCGCTGTCCCGGGCAACCTTTAGATTGCAGTGATGCTGTACCTCTTCAGAGAAGCTGTAACTTCCGGTTCACTTAGAACAAGAGCCGTGGTATGCATACAAATTGAAAATCGCTTCTGGGTTAAGTAAGGCACGGTATACACCTTTAGAGTTAGGTTTGTCCCCTGCCACTGTAGAGAATGTGGTCCTGGCCCAGAGGGGATTCCAGATACCTCAGGGTGGGACCCGTGCTGAAACAAAGGGACTGAGGCCTTTCTGGCTGCCTCCAGGCCCAACAGGGCTAGGAACTCTCTCCTGTCCTCAGAATGCTTTTTCCAACCCATTTTAAGAGGAGTGAGATCTTTCTGAGGAAAGAAGTCATGAGTCTGTGTCTCCACAAGTTATTCTAGAAGAAAGCCTTTTCCGTGAGCTGGCAGACAAACCAGTCTTTCCGTCCTGCTTTCTTGCCAGGTGAATTCTGTGTGCTGGGCCTCGCTAAACCACTTGGATTCCCACATTCTGTATCCTTTGCCAGGGGAAGAGGTTTGTCGGGCATCTGTGCCCTGTGTGGACCTGAACATCTGTGGACTTTGTGAGATGGCATCTTAGTGCAGGGGGCTGGGGAATTCTGCACTCATGTCTCACCCTTCAAAGGAAAACAGGACACTTAGGTAGATGGTCAGAATTCCCGTGGAGCACAGAGAAGCCAGCCGTTGAGCTCCTGTAAACATGGGATGATATTGATGTCCCTGGCAGACACTGTTCTGGAACTACACGTGGAGGTGGTGGAAGTAGGTTGGAAACCAGGCAGTCTGGCTCCAGAGGCCACTTACTCCACCTCTGGTGTGTGGCTGCAGATTCTGGGGTCATTAGACACACTCAGCATCCGTGTCAGTACCTCATGGTGAAGGAAGGAAGCATTGGTTAATAGGGGCACAGGGGAGGGAAGGCTGACCTAGGGATTGCCTCCTCTAGTACACTCCCCACTCAAGCTACTGCCTCCCCTGAGAGCTGGCAGGGCTTCTTTGCTAGGAGCATATGGTACAGAGTCATGTCTGGGCCTTCCTCTGGGACCACTGGAGGCTCTTGGTGCTACAAAGGACTTAAGTTTACCTTGCTCGTTGCCACATATGCATCACCCAATCAGAGAGCTGAGTTGTTGACCTGGTTGCTTTGCAAATGGTTACATTTTTTAATGACTTAGGTATGCGTGCACATTTAGCAAAATCTGCTAAAGCCAAAGCCACATGTTGGTGGAGTGAGTTCTTGGGTCATGCCCATAATGAAGAAGTTAGGTTTGGGGGGATTTTTGGTACCTGCAGTGAACCCAGGAATGCTCAACCACTGAATATAATCCCAGTCCTTTAAAATATTTTATTTTGAGACAAGGTCTTGCCAAGCTGTTTAGGCCCTTCCTAAATTGCTGAGATGGCTTTAAACCTGTGATCCTCCTGCTTCAGCCTCCCGAGCCAGTGGGATCACAGGCATTCGCCGTCATTCCCAGCCGCCAATGAGTTCTTAAACCTGTGTGCTGTCCTTGCACTTAACACTGGCTTCATGAGTTGTCATGAGATTTACTTTAGTTAACATCTGTGAATGTGCTTAGGAGAGCTTCTGCCCATCATTGGTCCTCACCTCATGAAAACTGAATCAGAATCTTTTTTTTTTTTTTCAGTTTGCTTCTTGGCACTACATTTTGAAGGATTTTAAAGGCTGAAGTACATTAATGATCTGAGTATAAATTTTATGTAAGGCACAAAACTGTGTGGTTTTTTGCTTGGTTGTTTTGTTTTTGGTATGGGGGATTAAACTCAGGATACTCGAGCTCTGAGCCACATCCCCAGCCTTATTTTGTATTTTATTTAGAGACAGGATCTTGTTGAGTTGCTTAGCACCTCACTTTTGCTGAGGCTGGCTTTGAACTAGCACTCCTTCTGCCTCAGCCTCCTGAGCCACTGGGATTACAGGCGTGCGCCACCGTGCCTGGCACAAAACTGTGTGTTTCTATAAACTGCAGTTTTATGTGGCTGTTGTTTGCTGGAGCTCGAGACCACCTGTTCTTTTTTCTTTTTCTTTCTTTTTTTTTTTTTTTTGTGCTGGGGATTGAACCCAGGGCCTTGTGCATGCAAGGCAAGCACTCTACCAACTGAGCTATATCCCTAGCCCTCCACCTTTATTTCACTGATCTAACTGGAGGAAAGGAGATGCCACGCTTTGCAGAGAGAAAGCAAGGTAGTGGTTTCTCAGGTTTCTCTGTGGGCCAAGGAAGGATAAAACTCCAAAAAATTGGGTCTATTGCAGCTTGAGCAGTGGCATGATACCTGTTGGTCATTCCAGGTCATCTTCAGCTTTTTTACTGAAAATTTTTTTGTGTATTTCTCCAAGGATTCACAAAAATTTCTTCCTTCACAAAAACGGCACCTTGTTCAGATCTGCACTCTGCATTTCTTCCCCCACTGGCTTAACCTTAGATCAATTAAGAGTAAACCTATTGAGCTGAGGCTGGGGCTCAGAGGTAGATCACTGGGTTCTATCCTCAGCATCACATAAAAGTAAAATAGAGACATTGTATCCACCTATAACTAAAATATATATATATATATATATGTATATATATATATATATATATATTTTTTTTTTTTTTTTTAAGAGTAAACCTACAGTACTAATCCCAGTACATAGTTACAAAGTTTGAGTGTAACCTGGGGTTCATCTACAGTAACTTAAAAGTGCACATAGGTAAGAACTTCCTGTTTCCCCACCCTCCCAGCCCAGGAGCAAAAGGTTTATTTAGAAAGGAATTGAGCTGTCCAGCATCAGTTCTCTCATTTGTGGTTTTAGAAGCTTGGATATACTAGAAACATAGTATGGAGATTACCACCAAAGGCCATATGCCACATATGCATCACACATTCAGATGGTTGAGATGTTGACTTGGTTACTTTGCAGATATTTACATTTTTCAATGACTTAGATTTGCGTGCACATTCAATGAACATCTGCTGAGCATCTACACTCCCTTCATAAGGTTACAGGCAGCTCAGTGGGTAATGAATCTGTGAAGGCATTATATGGGACAGGGATGCAAGAATTGCCCACACAGATGCCACACGGGAAGGAGGGGACGGAGTTCCCAGCCGAAGGATAAGTCAGGAAGGGGTTTGGTGCGTTGGGCAGCAGGTTGCCATCCCATGGGTCTTTGCCTAGGTTGGACCTTTCAAGATGGAATCCTCGGGACATGGGGTGCCCTAGAGGACTGTGATTGTGGGGATTCCTCTTGTAAGTGTAGAAACATATGCTGGCGAGGGTGAGACCTCAGTAGGAGACTGTTGCTAGACTTTACAAGAATGGCAGTGAGGGCATGAACTTCAGCAGCAGGCATGTAAGAGAAACCACGAGCCAAAGAAAAACTTACTAGCCGAGTTGGTCACATCTGAAGGTGCCAAGATGGAACTGCAAGAGGCCAAGAAAAGGAGTGTGCCATTACAAGTTGGCTGTGTGGTCATAGGACAGGACTGGAATGCTTCAGGATGATCATCAAATCAATGTAGGTGAACCCAGGAGACAATGGAGATTGGAAAGTTGGTGTGGATATTCTGTGTGGTGCTTCCTACAGGTTTTAAAAGCATGAACGGCGTGATATTATCCATGGACAAATAGCATGTGCATGGAAGTATTAGAGCATGGCCTACAAGAACTCCTTCCACTCTGAGAAGAGTGATTCTCAGGGTGGGAGAGAAGAAGTGGACTGGGGAGGGGTCAAAGAGGGCTTTTTTTTTTTTTTTTTTAATGTACTCTGATTTTCAAATTGTACATTTTAACACTTTATTTATATGGGTTTTTATGTGGTGCCGAAGATTGAACCCAGTGCCTCGCCCAAGCTGGGCAAGCACTCTACCACTAAGCTACTACCCCAGTACCCCACACACACTTTTTTTTCCTCTGTGTATTTTATTCCTTTAAGAAAGTCTGAAACTAGATGTGGAATATGTAAATGTTAGATCTGCCTGATGGGTGTGAGTCTGTCCTACTTTGTCTTATAATTTTTTGAAGGGTGCTGATGGCCGTCCTCCCAGAGGAGAGCCTTGTACTGTCCTTAACAGCTTTTTCCAGGCTGTGCCTCATGGGACTCGCAGAGACGCCAGGCTGTGCCACTTTGCTTCCAGCATCATTGTTTGTAGGTAGTCACCCAGGTACGGGGGTCCTTTTCTTTGGGAAAAAACAGAGCTCTTGGGGATGTCTCTGTCCTCTGTCTTCTAGAAGCTGCATGGGATGTGGCAGGGGCGGTGTGAGCCAGAGGCTGGGTGAGCCTGGATTGGAGCATGGGTGGGTGCACTGTGCAGCACCATGAGAGTAATGAGTCTGTCCCAGGTTCAGTACTAGGCATATTTATAATGTCTCCTGCTTTTTATCCACTGTGGGTCCCTTCAGTAGCCCAAGCAGAGTTAAAGTGTGTGTGACCAGTGTGAAACAGCAAACCTGTGGTTGGGGCTGCCTGTACTGATCATTCAGAAGACATTTATTAAGCTTCTGCTGTATGGCAGGGATACTGCCTGTGTTTTGGCTGAAGGCATTTTGACTGCTCCTAGCAGCACTGTGGACATGAAGTTTTCAGCCGTTCGGAGAACTTGGGTCAATGAGACATGTTCAGCCACTGAGAGGGCAGGCTTTGGCAGACCTGGCACGAATCCCAGCCTGCCCCTTGTCCACTTGAACAGATGGCCTGACCTCTGGGAATTGGTGACAGTGCACCATCAGGTTCGTGAGGGTCAGTTGTGGTTAGCCAGAGCCTGGCCTTCCATTGCACAGTGGGAGGAGTGTCTGGTCACCATTTTACAGATGAGAAAACTGAGGCAAAGAGAGAGTGGAATTTACCTTATAAAACTTATTTTTAGCCTTAGAAGTCAGGATAGCAGTTCCCTTGGGGAAGGAGTTGGGGTGAGAGGTTGGCACCCGGGAAAGGACATGAGGGAGCCTCTGGGTACTGAAATGTTTTGTTTCTCAACCTGGGTGGTGAGCATGTGGCTGTATTCATTTTGTGATAATTTGTGTTTTATCAGAGCAAATGTTTACCTTTAAAAAATTTCACCTGAGTACACATTTTATAGCATGAGCCAAGTTTGAAACCACCTTCTCTGTGACACCAAGTGACTTCCCTGACAGCTGTTAAGACTGTGCACTCCACAGTCTGAACTGTAAAGAAGGACCCCTTGAGCAGTTGCCCAGCTGAGTCTCTTTTTCTGTTGCCACAAAACCCATAAAAGGACCATCGTATAGACCCTTGGTCTGTTTTCTGTTGCTATAACTAAACGCCACAGACTGGGTGATTTTTAAAAAATAGAGGTTTACTGAGCTCATCGTTCTGGAGGCTGGCACCAGCATCTGACGAGGGTCTCCTTGCTGCATCATAACATGGTGGAGTGTTTCACATGGTGAAAGAGCTAAATCTGCTAGCTTGGGTTCTTTTCCTCACAGATCCACTAATCCCATCATGGTAGCTTCATCTTCCTGGTTTATCTAACTCTAGTTACCTCCCAGCCCCACCTCCAAATGCCATCAGCTGTGAGGAGAACATTTCCAAATATTAATTTAGGAGAACATACTCAAACCATGGCAGTCCCTCTGGAGCAGCTTTAACCAGTGGCTTCCTGGATCGGTGGTCACTGGCCTGGCAGCATGGAGGGATCTTTGGGTCCAGAGGGCAGCCATGCCTTACATTTTATGTCCCCCAACAGGTACAGACCGGCCTGGCATGCTCTGCAGTTTCCGGATCCCTGGTGCCTGGTCCTGTGCATGGTCCCTGAATATCCAGGCAAATAACTGCTTTAGTACTGGTGAGTTCCGGCTGCCTCCCCCAGTGCCCTGAATGGGGGAGTGCACTTCAAACCCCATCCAGCAATCCCTCTCCCTAGAGTGCCAGGGACTCTTGTCTCATCAGCCCTTTTCCATCTTTGCCAGGTTTATCTCGGCGAGTGCTGTTGACCAACGTGGTGACAGGACACCGGCAGACGTATGGGACCAACAGTGATGTCTTGGCCCAGCAGTTTGCTGTCATGGTTGGTTGGATTGGAAAGAGTGTCACAGGAAGTTTTCCCCACAGCCCAAAGTTTTCTGGAGTTGGATTCCCTGGTGTAGCATCTAGTCCTCCCTCTGTTACAGGGAGAGAAAGAGTGTCAGAAAGGATTAATGGGTTACTATGTGACTGTTTCTGAGCCGAGGGAAAGTTGGCTGATCCACAAAGGCCTGCCTAAGCTGACTTTAATCAACTTCCTGTTTAAAAGAATTGTTAGCAGTTCTTGAGTATTTGGATTAGCCAGCAGGACAAATCATTTTCAAAATGTTGGGGCTGGGGATGTAGTTCATTCAGTGAGTAGAGCACTTACCTAGCATTTATGAGGTCATGGGTTCCATCCCCACCACCTCAGAAATAAAATGTGTAAGTTCATACTGATTCTTAGCACTTAACTAGTTTCATATACAGTTTTCAAGTTATATATTTAAAAATGAAAATTTGAGCTGGGCACAGTGTCACACATCTGTAATCCTAGCAGCTTGGAAGGCTGAGTCAGGAGGATCTCAAGTTCAAAGCCAGCCTTTCAGCAACTTAGTGAGGCCTAATGAACTTAGCAAAACCCTGTCTCAAAGTAAAAAATAAAAATGGCTGGGATATGGCTCAGTGGTTGAATGCTCCTGGGTTCAATTGTTGATTCAAAGTCTCAGTGACTCTAAAGGCTGAGGCAGTAGAATCACAAGTTCAAGGCCAGCCTCAACAAGTTAACTTAGCAAGATCCTGTCTCAGTATAAAAAGGGCTGAGGATTCTGCTCAGTGGTTACTGTTATTTCAAAGACTTTCCCTGTCAAAAGTGCCGGGCGCAGGGGTGCACTCCTATAATCCCAGCAGCTTGGGAGGCTGAGACGGGAGGATTGCAAGTTCAAAGCCAGTCTCAGCGAAAAGCAAGGAACCAAACAACTCAGTGAGACCCTGTCTCTAAATAAAAAATACAAAATAATAATAATAATAGGACTGGGGATGTGGCTCAGTGGTTGTTCCTCTGAGTTCATCCCCTGGAGAAAAAGTGTGCAATCTTTATTTAAAGAGGAGGGAGTCCGCTGACCTGCTGTAAGCAGTAAGTGTAGAGTTGGCCATTCAGACCTCCCCAGCCTTCTGTCCTCTCATGGGGACCACACACCTCACCTGAGCTCCACTTTCTACTCCATGCTCCTTGCCTTACTTTCTTGCCAAAGACCTTATTGGGGACAGTGTACTGTCACCTAAGGGGACCGTGGGACCACCTCCAAGCACCTGTGGGCTTCTCACAAGGACACTAGAGGAACATGGGGTCCAGTTCTTCTGCATTCTCACTGACCAAACTTTGCCACACCAGGGGCTGGGTTGGGGCAGGGAGAGAAAGGAAGACACACCCTTTCCAGTCTTAGGGAGAGGTGTGTACAGCGGGCGCTAACTGAGCAGTCCCTCTCTCCACAGACTCCTTTGCTATTTAATGGTTGTCGTTCTGGAGAGATCTTTGCCATTGATCTGCGTTCTCGAAGTCAAGGCAAGGGCTGGAAAGCCACTCGCCTGTTCCATGACTCAGCAGTGACCTCTATGCAAATCCTCCAGGAAGAGCAATGTCTGATGGCATCAGACATGGCAGGAAAGGTAGGGGAACTCTGACATCCTGAAGCCCCAGAGGCTTCTGGCCCGAAACCCTGCCACACCAAGGGGTTCTAGGACACCAGGCAGGGAGAAGTTATAGGCTCTCTGGCTGGGAGTTCCTTTACTGCCCTCATGACCTTAGTCTGGCTTAGAAGTGAGAAAGAATCTCTGGTCATGTGACTTTGGTGGCTCAGGAGTTAGAGGTGCCGATCCTCATAACCTGAAGAGGCCACTGGAAACAACCTTGTGCTTCTTCCCACAGATCAAGCTGTGGGACCTGAGGACCACCAAATGTATAAGACAGTATGAGGGTCACATGAATGAGTATGCCTACCTGCCCCTGCACGTACATGAGGAAGAAGGAATCGTGGTGGCAGGTAGGTACTCGGAGGAGGGGAGATTCCACCTCATCAGTATGTTAAGCAACAGAAAAGGGAAGTAAATCAAAACCAGAATTGCCTAATGAGGACTGTGGACAGTGGGATAGGGACTGGAGGCTAGGTGGCGCTGGGTGTTAGTAAGCAGCAGTTTAAACAGCCAGTATATGGACAGTGCCCTTGTCAGTGGGCAGACATCACAGTGATGGGCAGGTGAGGTGCAGCAAGACGTCAGCTGGAGGACCTGGGTTAGGGTGCAAGTCTGCTCATCAGGTCAGCGTATCCTCATGCAGTTTTGTCTGAAAACTTATTCCCATTCTTTCTAGTAGTGCCCTTTAACACCTTCCAGAATCAGTAGAATAGAAGCAGCTGTCTAGCTACTGAACAACTGTTCCTATAAGTACTTATTCCCCATAAAAAACTTACTGTGACTAAGCAGTATTACTTTGTTCGAATTTTCTTATTATTCTCACCAACATCAACACTTACCTTTCTTTTATATATATATAAGAAACATCAACACTTACCTTTCTTATATATATATATATATTTAGTTGTTGATAGACCTTTATTTTATTTATTTATACCTGGTACTGAGAATGGAACCCAGTGCCTCACATATGCCAGGCAAGTGCGTTACCACTGAGTCCCAGCCCCAGCCCTTACCTTTCTGTAAGTTTTCATCTCAAAAAAGGATTTTTCTGTGTGCTGGGTAACAGGGAAGAGCCAATTTTGTTTTGTTTGTCTTTGTTTTGCAGTACTAGGGGTTGAACCCACGGGTGATGTACCACAGAAACATCCCTAGCTCTTTTTTTGTTTTTGAGACAGTATCTTGCTAAATTGTCCAGGCTGACCTCAAGCTTGCAACCCTCCTACTTCAGCCTCTTGAGTTAAAGGAATCACAGGCATATGCCATGGTGCCCACCATGAGCTAAACATTTAGTGAGAGACAGGTACAGGCAGGCCACTGACTGCAGTATAAACTGCACCCTGAGTTCATCCTTGACTGAGATGGCATCTATGGTCTTAGAGACTTGAGTGATTGGTATGAAACCCGTGGCAACCAAAGGGCCACCCTCCTCCTCCTGATTTCCAGAAACATGATACATGTCTTGGCTGCCATAACTACTGTGTTAGTGTCAGATTGCTTAGAACTTAGAGCCCTGAAGACTTTAACCTGGATTATGAACTTGAACTGTTCAACTAGAAAAAACTCAGGAAAGAGCTGTCATCTGGTTTGTCCCCAGGATGTAATGAAGTTGAGATCTTCCTGGCTAGCATTTCATAAAAAAGGAAACCAGAGTGCTATCATAGACCAGGTGGGCTGGGCTCCCACTTGACCAGCCTCTGACACAAAGAGAAGCAGAATCCCCTCCTGAGAGCCAGGGTGCCTGCCGAGCCACCCACAGTGTCACAGCCAACCAGTGCAGCTAATCATGTTGAATACCTGCAAAATGGTTATAGAGTATGTATTTTTTAATATCATGATTTTTATATTAAAAAATACATACTAGGGGCCGAGGTTGTGGTAGAGCGCTGGCCTAGCATGTGTGAGGTGCTGTGTTCAATTCTCAGTACCACATTAAAAAACTAAAGGTATTGTGTCCAACTACAACTAAAAAAGGAATTTTAAAAAATACACACTAGAAGTAGAAATACATTCCATTAACACGTTTGTGTTTGGGTTCATATAAAGTCACATTTGGTCCTGGTAAATCATGAGGAACTGGGATGTACCTATAGGTAAGCTTGTCCTTGCATTCTCTTGCTAACCTGCAGTGTGTCTTCTCTGTCTCTCAGTGGGCCAGGACTGCTACACAAGAATCTGGAGCCTCCATGATGCCCACCTGCTCAGAACCATACCTTCCCCATATCCCACCTCCAAGGCCGACATCCCCAGTGTGGCCTTCTCTTCTCGGCTTGGAGGCTCCCGGGGAGCACCAGGGCTGCTCATGGCTGTCCGGCAAGATCTTTACTGTTTCTCCTACAGCTGATTCTGTAGGGAGCCGCCTGCAAAAGTGTGGATTTTAATTAAAAGGAGTAAAGAGTACTTTATTTCCATTGCTGATGAGGGCTGACTTTTTTTCTCCCTCTTTTTGCTCCTGTCCTCTAATGAGGGCATTTCAAATGAAACTGTGCACACAAATTACATCCTTCATTCTTCTGGCTGCTAGGGGCAAGGTGCTAGGTGTTCCACATGAATACACCAATAAAGTTGTTACAGTGAAATTGTGGGCATACAGAGCTTGAAAGTCCTTTTCATAAAATAAAAGGTACCTACATCCTTTTCTTGTTGAAAGCCTTTAAAAAGTTAGTTCCCTTTGGTCTTAAGGACTAAAGGAAATGGGTAGTAACTAAATTAGAGCTGCTTCTTTTACCAAAAGCCCTGTGGAGAAGACCAGTGATGAGATTGGTGAATATGGGTAGATATTGCCTGGGGTCTCAGGAAGACTTGTCCTTGAAAAAGCCAACAGGGTTGGAAAGGAAAAGCCAGGTCATGTCTTCAAGTCTCATCATTAAACATGATGAGATCATTAAATATGGCCTATTCAGGAGATCTCTTGAGATATTCCTTTTGATAGCACTCATGCATTGGAAGGGAACATGGATCTCTTTAAATGCTAGTTTTTAAAGAGTCCTTGAAGTGCCTTTATTGAAACACTTTCCAGAATGTAGGGGATAGCAGCTTCTATTTTTATTATAGCAACTTGAATGTCAGATTCAAGGACCCAAGGTCAAAGAAAATCCATTTTGATTTTTTGTGATTTCAGAGCTGTACTTTGTGAAATGTTCATACAGAGTTAAGAAGCCTTTCTACCAACCAATAAAGTAGGAAGAACCATGGTGTGGATGATGCTTCTGATGACTGAGAGCTTGAGCTGCTGCAGCAGCAATTTAGCCTCAGTTTTTTTTTTTTGGGGGGGGGGTGCTGGGGATTGAACCCAGGGCCTGTGCATGCAAGGCAAGCACTCTACCAACTAAGCTATATCCCCAGCCCTCTAAGATCCTGGATAAGAGAAAAACCGCTGAGACCAACTTTAGTAACTGTGCTGGAGAGCTTCCCTCTGCCCTTGGGCCCATCTGGCCTGCGCATGCATGCCTCAGGAGACTGACCTCCGAACTAGAGGGCTCCCTGAACCCCAGAGGCAGGGCAGGTCAATGAGTGGGAAGAACCAGCAGGAATGCAAAGGGCAAGAGGACATCAAGTGGGCTTGTTCATTCCCTGGCTCCCTTCCTGTTGGACTGTGGGTGGTTGTGACCAAAGGCCACAGCTTCATTTGGAACATAGCTCTTATCCTCTTGAATGTTCCATGTACTTCCTGCCAGAAGCCTCATATAGCTTACAAAGAACCAAATCCAGAAAATGGGTGAGAATATCAGACTGGTTATGTAATAGTTAAACTATAGGTTGTAATATTTTTAGTGTCTCACATTTTATAAGGAACTTATCCCTAATTGATTTGAATAATAACCCAGAGGAGGCAGGAAGAAAAATAGTAGTAATATAAAATCAGCATCATTTTAAAGACAAACCAGGGTTTAGGCTAGTGGTATAGCTCAGTGGTAAAGCATGTGCTTAGGAAGCACAAGGCTCTGACTTCACTTTAATCAAAGCTGTTCCAATATTAACAGTACTGTTCAGAGATCATGATCTGAGAAAAGGCACAGTAATCACAAAGAAGCCCAGAGCAGCTAGAACTGAGGTGACTTATTGGCTAGGAAATCCACTTAGGCTTTTAGTTGTCCTCTCTTCAGGACATTGAAGGGAGTAGACTAAGGATGGGACCAGCGCCTTAGAGATTCAGCATGATAATGTAGTACTGAGACTTGTCTATTAACAGTAAAATGGCTCTGGTCAGATGTAGTACCTGAGTCTGAGATAGTTGTTTTGTTTTTTTGACCTGGGATTGAACCCCAGGGTTGCATAACCACTGAGCCACACCCCGAGGTTGATTTTTATTTTGAGAAAGGGTCTTGCCAAGTTGCTTAGGGCCTCACCAAGTTGCTGAGGCTGACTTTGAACTCAAGATCCTCCTGCCTCAGCCTACCAAGCTATTGGGATTACAGGCATGTGCCACCTCGCCAGCCCCTTGTGATACTTAAGAAGTTTAATAAAAATTTTAAAAGGCACCAGGCGCAACTTAATAAATGTAGAGGTCAGATTGTGTACAGTGACTAAAAATAATTACATTAATGAAGAGAATACACAAGCTGATTTTCACTGTGAGTGACGGTAGTTCTGAAGCTGAAGAAACAAATATGGTAGCAAAATTACCATTATATCAGGATTTTTTAACAAATGGAGCTTAGCTCTTGTGGTATATACTAGACCAACTTGATTACTGTCCTTGTCATAAAAACCTGAGGACAACAGGAAAGTTTATAGATACAAAGCTAAGCCCACCTGTGACAACAGTAGAAGCCTTGGCTTTTCAACTTTCCCCTTTTGAAAAGACCCTGTTCTTATCGGGAAGAGAATTCAGAATCTGAAGAGGAAGGAAAACTTGAGGGGAGAAGTTTCACAGTGCCATGGACACAGGCCTGCCTGGACCCAGGTGACAACTCAAGTCCTACTTGCCAGGCAGTTTGGCCTCTGAACCTCTTTGAGCAAGTGTCTCCTGTAAGACACGAACAAGGGCCTGCCTTCCAGTATGATTGACAAACCGTCAACCTCATAAACCTCCCAAGAGTACCTGGAAGAGGCAACTAATCCAATTCCCAAATAATTCAACCAGCCAATTAAACCCAATGGATGTGTGAAGCTCTCACTGGGTCCCACTGCTTAGGCCACTTAGTTCAGCCACACAAGATGAAACTTGTAGGGCTGGGGATGTGGCTCAAGCCATAGCACACTCGCCTGGCATGCATGCGGCCCGGGTTCAATCCTCAGCACCACAAAGATGTTGTGTCCGCTGAAAACTAAAAAATAAATATTAAAAAACTTCTCTTTCTCTCTCTCTCACACTCTTTTTTTTTTTTTTAAAAAAAGGGGGGGGCTGGAGATGTGGCTCAGGCGGTAGCGCGCTTATCTGGCATGCGTGCGGCCCGGGTTCGATCCTCAGCACCACATACCAACAAAGATGTTGTGTCCGCCAAGAACTAAGAAATAAATATTAAAAAATTATCTCTCTCTCTCTCCCTCCCCTCTCTCACTCTCTCTTTTAAAAAAAAAAAAAAGATGAAACTTGTAGCTATAGCTCACGAGGTTCAGCTACCTTCACTACCTATAAGCTGGTTTTCAGTTATTTAAAATGTTCATGTAGCACCTCCTCAGCCACAACAAGGGAACTGATCTGTGCTATTCAGTATCAGGACAGTACTTATTCCTGGGGGTAGGGGTGGACGGAAGTACCTGAAGTCCAGCCATGTTTTTCTCAGGGGTGGGGGGTACTAGGGATTGAACTCAGGGGCACTCGACCACTGAGCCATATTCCCAGTCTTATTTTGTATTTTACTTAGAGACAGGGTCTCACTGATTTGCTAGCCATGTTTCTTAATCTGGGTGCTGGTTGGTTTTGTGGTGTTAAGTTGGAGAAAATTAAGGTGAGCCAGTTTTTTTCCCTCCTTTGCTTTCAGCCTGCATTTACCTCATTAATTTGAGACTGGGATTGTGACTAGGAAAAGAATCTCCTACTTGACACTGGTACCCTTCTTCTCCTCCACTGATTGGACTAGCATAAAAAGGGACTTTTTTGTGCGATTTCTATTAAAGAGCCTTATGAAGGTTGATGGGCTAGAAATGTCACGACCACATGGCTCAGCATTCACATGCTCAGGGTTAGGGGTGCTCCAGCTTGACGACAGAACTGCTGACCAAGTCTAATGGGGTCACCACCTTTCACCTCTTCTCCTCAAACCCTCCCTAACCTGCCCTACTCATCCCAAAAATGAGAGAAGGGTGGAAGGAAAGAAGAAATGAGGGAAAGGAACAGGAACAAGGAAGAGGAGAAGGGGACAGACAAGTGTCAGTGACCACCAAGAATGGGGAGATGGTAGACGACACAGGAATCAGATGAAGCCTGGGAAGTTCCACATTAAAAGGTCACTAATAATGCCTATATTAAATCTTGATATTGAAATGAGGAGTAACACCCAGTCTTTTCTGAGCGAGGATTCCCCTAAGACCCTGGCATGATAGCTACCAAAGTTGAACCCAGAGAACCCAAGTAATTAAAAAGCTGCTGCCATTGAGCCACACAATCCCCCACTTGGTGCCCAGCTGGCCTAGCTCAGCCTTACTACAGCTATCCCCTGCCTTCACTTAACCTCCACACTGCTGTGACAAGGCCTGAGGAACTCTGTGGTCCTCTGGTCCCTAAAAAGTTCTGGCCCCAGAGGGCAAACTGATATGGGGCAAGTTGTCTTATCTGCCCAACAGCTGGGGAAAAACTGTCTGTCATTTTGAGATTAAAAAACCAGTCCGTGGGGCTAGGGATGTGGCTCAAGCGGTAGCGTGCTTGCCTGGCATGCCTGCGGCCCGGGTTCAATCCTCAGCACCACATACCAACAAAGATGTTGTGTCCGCCAAGAACTAAAAATAAATAAATAAATAAATATTAAAAATTCTCTCTCTCTCTTTCTCTCCTCTCTCTTAAAAAAAAAAACAGTCCGTGTGATAATGGTTTTGTGGTATTTGCTTATACTTTTTCTAGGGAAAAGCACTTATTTGTCAGAGTAACAAGCAACCATTTGCAGGCAGCACTACCACTCCAGATGTATGCCTCTTACTTTGCGACTGCTCTGCAAGCCACCAGATACTTTCCCATCAACTGGAAAAAGATTTACTGATGGAATTAGAGGAAAGAATCAGCACAGTCGTGTTCAGCAGGAAGATTCTTTTATGATGGCGAATTTGATAATACACAGTTCAAGTAGGGCCTCAGTCACTGGTCCACAGGAGGCAGGAAGGCGCAGGTCTGAGACTAACTCACTCCAGGGCTCACATCCCACAGATACTCAAGCCAGGAATGGCCGCCCATGCACCTCCCCAAAACTCCACCCACCAGCCAGCTCAGTCAGGAACTATGTTGCTTTAATTCTTTTTTTGGCCACTGAAGATAAACTCCACCCGATGACAGGATTCGGCACAACAGTCTCTTTCCAGTCATGATAGGTATAGATGTCCAAGCTCTTGATGAGAAACATTCATTTGACTTCTCTTGCATGGACCAAAGAGATAGAATTTTTCTTTTATGATCTGTTGAAATATTTATATATACTTTTAAAAAAACAACTAACAGTCCATTCTGTGCTCTGTTTCCCTGGAAGGTTTCTCATGATTACCCCTCCAACAGCTAGAGGGGTTGTGTGTCTGGAAACAAAGAATTAAGACACTTTATGCAATAAAAATTCTAGTGCGACACATAGAAGCAGATGATAGGCTCAAGGGGGAGGAGGGTAGCAGGTGCTTTTGATTTAGGAGCAAAAGTGCGGCCTTCCAGAAAAGCCTAGTGGAAACAGAAGCATTAAGGAGCAGGAAAGGCTGCTGGGGAAGGCCCAAGTCCTTTGGGAATCTCCCCAACTACAAGGGACGTCACAGCACCTGAACTTGACTTCTCAGGACTGAAGACCCAACTTCTGACCTTCCACACACCCCTAAGACCCACACAATAAGCTGGTTGGTCTTTAAAACAGGCTTAATCCAAAAATTGGGATTCAGCTCCCTGAGGGCCCAAGCAGAATTCCCTTCAGGCTGCCTCAAGTAGGCATTGCTGGGAGACCCACCAACCAGGTAGCTAGGGGGCCGGAAGGGAAAAGCCAGGAAAGGGAGGCTGCCAAGGCTTGGAGAGAAGCAGCAAAAGGTGACCAGTGACGCAGTGGCTCGGGACCTGGCTTGGCTTT